GGGTATATTTATTTTTTACTTTAAAGGTAAATAGATCTTTAAAACATGAAATAAGGAGTTATTCATACAGCAAAACGTAAAACATAAAATATTATACAAGTTAAGTTTATAAACGTTTAATAAATTTATATCTTTAAATAAAGGCTCGAACCTTTATTTAAAGATATAAATTTATTAAACGTGCATAAAACATGCAATGCGAATAATATATTTTTTAAATCGTTTTTCAAATACAGATCTGTATTTGAAAAACGATTTAAAAAATATATTATTCGCATTGCATGTTTCTGATGGCGTTAAAGACGTTGCAACTTACCTTTACCTGACTACCCCATGCCATATTTGCATAGTTTATCTAGCTATGAATAAATGAGCAGTATAGTTGTTTTAAATTATTTTTATTTAAATAGTTTCTGGCCTTTAGAGGATTCCAATACTTTTTCCAACTTTTGTTGATATAAAATCAATATGAGCTTTCCATGCCATATTTTCGTCAAGATAGATACCTAGGAATTTTAAAAAAGAATCTTTTTTTATTTCTACTTCATCAATATAAAGTTTAGGTAAATCATAAGGCAAAAAAAATGTTTTTTAGTTATGGAGTGGAAAAGGATCCACTTTGTTTTGTCAATATTTAAGGTTAATTTATTGCATTTAAATTAAGTAGAAACTTGATTAAGTTCTTTATTCATATTTTAAAAAAATTTATTAATGTTTTTGTTTGATAAAAATAAATTGGTATTGTCGGCAATATCTTATGATGCTCATAAGATTCGAGGCTTTATTTAGATCGTTGACGTATACTAAAAAAAGAAGTGGAACAAGGATAGAACCCTGTGGAACACCACATTTTATTTCAATTAATGTTTTATTTTGAAGATCAATAGGAAGCAATTTTTCTCCGTGATAGACGAATTGCTTTCTATTTGACAAGTAGCTTTTATACCATTTGATCAATTTACCAGTTATTCCGTGATTTTATTCCGTGATATTATTATAAATTTGCTGTTTAAAATAACTGCAACTCTCGTATTTGTAAAATATACACAAGGCGGGGGCAAGAAGAAGACAAAATAGTCTTATCGCCAAGCTCCCAAATCCAAAGAGGTTTAATAAACCTCCTTGAAAATTTATCACCTAATACAAAAGGGCTGAAATTAAAGAAAGTTTTATAGCTGTTGGAGAAAAAGCAAACAACCATTTTATTAAGGGAAAGAAAACAAAAAGAAAGGTAGCATTTATTATTTATTTCTAAATTATAAGTCATAAATCTTTTAATCAACGCAACTCATATATTTTTTTATATCTACTCTTAGGTGTCTATACACGGGAAGGAACTTTCATTAATTTTTGTAAACTTTTCCCATCCATCCAAGCTTATTAAGACCACCCCCACCCTCATTTAATTGATTTAATAGTTTATTTCTCTTTCATAAAAAGACCCAGAAGAGGAGGAAGATACTATATGCAATTGTTTTGGAGAAGATGCTGCTTGTAATCATGTTTAACTTATTTATTGTACAGCATTTTTTTTGGTCAAAATTTTTAATAAAAAAACTACAATTTTAACTATAGTGTTTTGTTTGTTCCCATTATTTTATACTATTGCTTTTATTCAATAATTCATGCAAATCAAAGTTTTTCCTTTCAAATTATTTTAATGCTTTTTTAAAACAAAACAAATCTTGTATTTATTTATACATATATAGTTTCTCATCAACTAACCTGTTTCAAAATAATCTAAGTCCATATAACATTATCAATATAAGCTAAGTCAATAATTTAATCAGGTTTATTTCATGATCCTATTAAATTGCATTTTTTCCTATGCGCATACTTTATTTGTATCACTACACTGAAGTAACTTTTACCAACAAATTTTTATTTTTGAGCGCAAAATATTTGTGGGTCACTTTTCCTTCAATATCTCAAAATCAATTTGCTCAGACTTAGCGCATTTTGAAAATGGGCTCCTCATTCTGAAAACAAAAAAAGTCCTAAAACTTTAGCCTCAACTGCCCCCAACGTGAGAGCAACAAGTTGATAAAACATTTAGTTTTATTTTTCTTAACTTAATTTATTATCATTGGCAAATGTTGAAATGCATCTTAGAAATAATTTCGAAAATCAAGCCAATCAAAATCAAAACAAACAATTTATATCATTTTTATTTGCATAAAAAATAGACTATAACAACAGTTTTGCATTAAAAATTTTTTAAGCACGATGAAGACATTGCATTTAAGAGTCCAAATGCGGTCTCCCATATTGAAGTCACAGATAGCAACCTAAAGTGTATTATCTGCCTTTTAAGTAACAGAAATGCATTAGTAATGCCTTGAAGACATTTTTTGAAAAAAGTAAAAACAAAATTTTATCAACTTGTTGCTCTCACGTTGGGGGCAGTTGTGGCCAAAATTTTAGAGCTTTTTTACTCCGAGGTTTCAATCATCGCAATTTTTTGCCAAGCATCCTTCTTTGACATAGGTATAAACATAAAAATATTTAGAGTTTGCTCGATGTCTGTAAGTTAGCTATTTCAAACACCAAAAAAATGCTGGATCCGCCCCTGATATATATATATATATATATATATATATATATATATATATATATATATATATATATATATATATATATATATATATATATATATATATATATATATATATATATATATATATATATATATATATATATATATATATATATATATAATAATAATAATAATAATAATAATAATGATAATAATGATAATAATAATAATTAATAAATACATAAACGTTTAAAAATTAAAAATGGATATGAAGATAATTTTTGAGTTACTCAAAAAACAGAAGAATGATATTCTAGAAGAAACAAGAAAGCTATTAATAGATCATGAAAAAGTATTCGCGTCAATAAAAGCAGCAAATATGAAAATACTTACTGAGCGGTTAGAAAAGAATGAAAAAGTCGTTAGCAAAGACTCAGCTAAAATCAATAACAGTGCAATTGAATTAGAAAAAACAAATAAAAAAGTTATGTCTCTTTCAGCTGATTGCAGCGATATTATCAAAGCTATTTAAACTGACGAAGAGATTATTACGGATAAATTTGAAGTTGTAAAGAAAAAAACAAAAGAGTTAAGCATTAAAATGAAAGACAATAGCAAAATACTTAAAATAAAAAGTAAACTTAGAAAAATTGAAGATCGCTCACGAAGGAACAACCTAAGAATAGAAGGAATAAAGCGAAAATGAACATGGAGTGTCAGTTAATCAAACTTATTTTAATGCTAAAAATAACACATTCAATGATAATGACATAAATAAAAATTAAAGCTTTTTTAATAAACAAAAATATACTTTTAGAAAACTACCCTGAATCTAATATTAGCTTTTATAAGGATGGGGGTAGGGATGGAAAATATAAGCTCTTATTGCTACAGTTCAAACGTTTCAACACTAACTGCTAACATAGATATGATAATGCACTATCCATCCTGCATCTAAAAATAAGGAGTATAAATTTTTTTTTTGATAAACTTAAGCAATTTTTATTTAGCGTTAAAACAAATTTTCAAATTATATCGTTAACAAAAATAGGAGGGGGGGGGGGGGGGGTTTGCCTCGCCCTCATTGCCCCCCCCCCCCATGCATCACTCTAAAGGAATTGGACCACAATGTGCTGGTAAATTGCAATTTGATAAGTTTTTATTTGCCATGATAAAGTGTAATTTATTTATTTGCTATTCCAGAATTATATTGCTGTTGATATGCGGCCATTTTCTTCGGTCCACAACGCTGGTTTAAGAAGTTTGCTGTTGCCGCTGGTCGACAACCTAGAGATCAGAAGTCCAAAATTTTATCGACAGCTACTAGACAAGGAGTGCGAGGAAAAGACTAAGCTACTGAAGGAAACGTTGGCAGAGGTCTCATACGTCTGCACCACAGCTGACTGTTGGACAAAAAATTGCAGATTTACATCGGGATGACCGTCCACTGGTGGTCTGATGGTCTCACTCGCCGGAGTGCTTTGAGTGAGAGTGCAGCAAGGCGAAGTCTTGAGTCATGGAACATGTCGCCAAATCTCTTTTGCAAACCCTACAGCACGGCTTTAATGAGGCTTTTGCAATGGACGATCGATGGCGTCTTTTCCATTCCCGATAACTCTTCTTTTAACAGCTGGATAGAAGGCAGCAGACATCCAATTGAGACGTTTGATTCATTTTGAAAGAGGTCCAAAACCTCATAGCTGTGATAGCGAACGCCACGTCTGCAGCTTGCAAGCAAACATTTAGTTTTGGAGGACTCATCTTCACTGCCAAACGGGGATCAATGACTGATAGCACCTTTGAGAAGTTGACTTTATACAAAATCAACAACAATATTTTCAATGATTGGAATGAGACTCCATCGACCGTGAAAAAGCGGTCAAATTACATTGGTCAAAGCTTTTGACCAATGTAATTTGGTTCACAATATTCCATTTGTCATATTAGTTATTATTTAATTAATAATTGTATAACATGTATTTGTGTTACTTCATCTTACTACTGTCGTGTATTCGTGTTACTCCTTCCTACTATTGTATTGTATCCTACTATTGTCGTGTATTCGTGTTACTCCTTCCTACTATGTGACCAACTGACAATTAAAACGATGTGAACGGGCTGCCAATAAATAAATATTGGGAAAGTTGTTGAAACTTTTTTATGAACGGATTTGTAAGCGAATGAGCGGAGCGCCCGCTCAAGAAATTTTATGAGCAGATTTGCGAGCGTCCGTTCATAAAAAGCTGCTAAACGACAAATTGAGCGCCGCTCAGAATTTTCTGAGCGAATCCTAGGTCTGTAAAAATGTTATTTAAAACTGTAAATACTATACCTACTAATACTACTATACCTTGCTAAATGGTTTGAAGCAATGGTCTGAACTACTATACCTTGCTGAATGGTTTACAGCAAACAAATTATCTCTAAATTTAAATAAAACCAAATTTACTTTTTTGGATCGCTATCATGAACGAGACAAAATTCCATTAAGTCTTTCAAATCTTTGTATTAACGATTGCGAAATAAAAAGAGAAGTATCATTAAAATTTCTAGGAGTACTCCTTGACGAAAATATAACATGGAGAGATCATATAAAATATACTGAAGGTAAAATATCAAGGAGCATTGGCCTACTTTATTGGCCAATATACTTTATTTTTCTTTTATTCATTCCTATTTTAAGTACGCTAATATTGCATGGTGTAGTACCAATAAAAATAAATCAAAAAAGTTCTTCAGTATGCAAAAACATGCAGTCAGAATTATATCCAATGAAAACCGCTATACACTGTGCCAAGCTTTATTTACTAAGTTAAATATACTAAATATCTACCAAATAAATATTTATCATCTTCTAATTTTTATGTTCAAAATTATTAAAAGTATCATTCCATAAAACGTTTAATCTCTTATTCAAAACTAATCAGAATAAATACTTAACTAGGTATTCAAAAAACACCTAAATACAACCCAAAAGTTATTTTTCGGCAACTGAGTTTTCGATTTCAATTAGAGGACCAAAGACATGGAATAAATAATATAACCATTTATTTAACCACAAAATATGAAAATTTAAAACAATATTTTATAAACTCACATAAATAAGGTTAGGCGTCACTCATATAGTCAAAAACTAGATAAATGGAGTGACACCTAGAGAAAAAAAAAAAAAAAGGAAAAACAACAACAACAAAAAAAAATGTAATTAAAACAAAGAAAAAATTTAAAATAAAATAATGAGGAAAAAAAAATAGTATACCGTCTACCGCTTGATTATCTTGCACCTGTTCTTGTGCAACATCATCATACTATAACCGAATCTAAATAGAATAAAATGAGACAATCAAATTTTTTATTGATCGAAGATATTTAGAATCGAATTTGAACATTATTTGTAGCGTAGAATTATTTATATTCGAATTTTTTAAAATCGAATTTCTTTAATTAAGTTATTAAAACTTGTTTCAATTGAATAATTTAGAACCACCATTTAGAACTGAATCTTCTATAATTGTATTAGTTAAATAAATTAAAATTTTAATGTATACAATGTATATTAAATGTATATTAAATAATACATTAAATAATAATTTAAGTAAACACATTTATAAAATCTTAGTCCTCTACATACTGGACAGTGAATAGTAGCAGAGCCGTCTCGAAGAGATTTTAAAAGGACGGGGGTGATGTGTCTGTTTTTTGCCGACTAAAGCCAGAAAAAATTCGTAGGGGGACTAGACACCCCTACGCCCCCCTCGGGACAGCCCTGATTGGTAGCACTACTTTGAATGGTTTAGTACAAAATGAATACATTGTAAAAAAATTCGATGCTAAATTAATCAGCTGTGAAAAGAAGTTTAGTTTTTAGTTTCATTGAACTTTTAATGATATTCGATTATCTCATTCTATGTTCAATAAATTCGATTATAGAAATCAATCAAATTATTTTCGATTCTAAGCAGCTTTTAGACAATTCGGTTCTAGAACATTTTCACAAATTCGGTTCTGGCATTGGACGTTATCTTCTACATTCATATCCTGATCGTCTGATTTCGTAACCTGATTTGTAACCACAAAAGACTAGGGTAAAATAGTTAGCATTTGAAATGTACATTCATAAATCAAAATTGGTTTTACACAGAGCAACTTTATATACAGAGGATTTTCTGAATGGAAGTTTTCCGAAATTTTCTGTACCATCCATATTTATTTCTGACATTAAAAAATTTGTAACGTGGCGACATAACATTTACAGTGGTTTTTACCAGCTCTGTTCCACCAATTTGCTTTAGTAAATGTAACTAAATTAAGTTAAAATGCATTTAAAATAAAAAAAATAATTATTTAGTTATTAATCCTCTTGATTATAGCAAAGATGAATACGTACTGTTACTCAATCATACTAGCGTTTACAAAACTGTTTATAAAACTTACGAAAAAAGTTCTTGCTGCAGGACTTCATAACGAAAGATCAGCAACTCATATTTTTTAACTGTGTCAATGATGCCATCAATAATTTCTAAAACATCGGAGTTCATTGATTTGTTGGAATTTAGGAAGGTAGATCGTCGCGAAAAAAGTTTTTTAACTTCCATGAATTAAAATGGCGCGCCCGAAACTTGTTTATTATTTATTTATCAGTTGTTTTGCTTTCAGTTGTTGTAAGGAAGTGAATCTTGAAAACGCATTTAAGTCTATTTTAATTATTTAGCTAATGAAAAATAATTATTTTTTTAATTATGTTAAATTTTGTTTTAATTTGTTTTTCGAATTCTCTAGAATATTTTTTATAAATGGTTTTATTTTCAACTGATTTGGATTTCAAGTTCTTAATATATAAATTTTGTTTAATTTTGGAAGATTTTCCTAGTACATTGGTTATCCATGGGGATGTTATTTTTTTTTATTTTTTGGTTGATTTCAATTATAGGAAAATTTGCGTCCTAAATATAGTAGAATGTTTAAAGAAATTTGCTATAAGCTAAGTTTAGGTCCTGTGAATGATTAACATGTTCTCAGCGTAGTTAAGTAAAAAAGTTAAGTAGAGATCGGATCGATTTGCATTTCTTAAAACAAAGATTTACATTTTCAAACTTCAATTTTTTATGTTTTCTACTTATTTTCGACTGTTACTGATATATATTTTTAAAAAGTAGAATTTAAGCTTTTCTTATATAATTTATTATTTTTTTATAAATCTTTTTTTAATCAAAGCATCAAGCAAAACAAAACTACCATTAAAATACATAAAACGCGACGGAGCAGCGTCATAAAAACAGCTGAGAAACAAATGTGTTAAGTATTTACATTCCAAAAATGTCTCTTTTAGTAAAGTAAAACGACTCCTTGTTTACAGCTTTAAAATATTCAATAAATGACTAAAAACCTCTTATTTCATCCTTCCGTAAACAGTAAAAACGTTAAAATCGAAGTTTTCACGTTAGTTTCCACTCATAGCAGTTTACTTCCGTAATCTCTTTATAGTCGTTTGAATAAACTACTAAACAGAAACGTTTCAGCTATTATAAAACTTCTGCCCCATAATATTAAGCTAAAACTTCAAGCTAGTACATAATAAAATCACCGAATATTTGTAAACAATATAAAACAACGAGCTTCGTAATTTTTTTTTTTAATAAACCAATTAAAACGCACACGAAATAAAACGGCATTTTTTGAAAACGAAAGGGCCTAAACGGAATATTTTTCGTTGGATCTCTCCTTAACTACGTTCAGTTGCCAATGAAACATTGATAATTGGTCATTAAATGATGCTAAATTTGCTTTACTATAAATGCGTTTACAAAATTTATTATTTTAATTTAGTATTAATTTAGTATCTGTATTTATGGTGAAAAATCTGAAAATAATCTGTGATATCATATTTAATGATTCTATTTTTAAGAGAATGATAAAAAATATCATTCTTTATGTTATTGTCAATTAATGAAGTCGTTGATTCAGTAATTCTTGTCGGTTTCGTTATTAGTGGAAACGCTCCGTTTTTAAATAACTCATTGTAAAACTCTTTAATGTTGTATTTGACGTGATTCTGTAAATAATCAAAATTAAAATCACCAATTAAACATTTTAATCTCTTTTCGTGGTTACTTTTTTACCCTTATTGAGTTTTTGATGTCTAAAACTTTGTTGTACTTTGTGCATGAAATTAATATCGAATATTTTCTTCTCTTTTTTTTTTCTATACTATTCTTTTTATTTAAGTTTTTTATTTATCTATGCACCTGTCAAATTTGATTGAAAATTTTATTGTAGCAGGGTATCTATTTTTTGTCGCATTTTTGGTACCTAATTTTCATTTTGCCCGAAATGGTCGTGGGAGATTAAATATTTTTTATATTTGATTTAGATTAAACAAAATTTTTAATAAAAAATAGAAAATAATGATAGAGATAAAGCTTATCGATATTGTTTTCTATTTATTAAAATTTTAAAATGAAATTATTTGCCTAACTTCAATGTAAAGTTATTAAATGAATTTTAATGTTTCCTTACTTTAAAATTGAGTTTTTAAAAAATGTAACTTGCATATAAGTAATATTAATACATATTTTATCCTACATTGTCTCTCCAATAACAATCACAATATGCAACTACTTGTTTTTGTATCATGCATCTTTTGCTAAATAAGTCTAGTTATAAACTATACATTTTTTTAGCACAATTAATCTATCAACTGTAATAAATAGTATAAATAGAATATGGCCATATATAACAAATATATATTAATAACATTACTGAAACTTAAACTTTTATGTATGATACATGAAACGTAAATAATGAAAAATTTTTGTTATATTTTTTCAACTGCTCTAAGCATTCCAATGACAGCAGCCAACAATATCAGTTAGTTATTTTATATATTCAATATCAATTAGTTTCTTTTAACTTGAGATCGGTAGATATAGTCTAGACAAATGTTTATATTATTTTGTTAAAAATTGTTTTTTTAATTGTTTTTTTAGATGATGCTTTTGAGAAGATCAATTTTTTTGTTATGCTTTTATTATTTTAGTCTTTAGACTTTTGCTCTCAGTATTCAATTATAGATCTTCATTATGCTATGTTGCTATGCAGATGCTATGTTGCTATGCAGATGCTATGTTGCTGTGCAGATGCTATGTTGCTATGCAGATGCTATGTTGCTGTGCAGATGCTATGTTGCTGTGCAGAATATTATGCTATGTTGTTGTGCAGATTATTCTGCATCCACAAAGTTTTTTTACAGTTGTTTATTTTTATATTTCTGATTGCTTCTTGCTTTTTATTAAATCGTTGTAATTTTTTTCTATAGACAATTTAGAATCAATAATGAGCAAGTAAAGTTTGAACTATTTAAGTAATTTTTTTCTGCTATATTAGTGTTATAATTTAAGTTTTTAATAAATGTTACAATTTAAAATTGTTTTTTAGATGAGCTCAGGCAGCAGATTTTTAATTTGAGTAAACTTTAACAATTTCATTGCTATTGTTTATTGATACATGCTAACTAAAGAATTAAATCTGTTTTAAAAAACTAATGCTATACTACTATTGTTACTAATTCTTCAGCTTTAATAATTGGTAAGAGATTAATGTAATTAATGAGATAAGTGTATTTTTTTGTGTATATAGAGAGAAATATAGTTTGATTTTGTGTATTGTGCAGCTATTTAATCTTTTGTGTCATTATATTATTTAATCCTTGTCATCTGTAAGGTTTTATATTATGATATTTCAAAATGATTTATATAGCAAATTAATTTCAAGATTTTTTATTTGTTTATAACACTTTTTTTTTTTTGAAGTATTATCTTTATCTGTTCAAACTGGTAAGGTTTTTTATTTTGACTTTTTAATAATATTTAAATCTTAAAAAAACTTCAAGATTTGTTTGTGTGCTATATTTTTATATATTTTATAATTTTTAAAGTTATATATTTTAAAATTTTAAGTACCATCTTTCTCTAATCTTACTGGTAAGGTTGTATATTTTGTCTTTGCAACATGATTTTAATAAATAAAATTCTTGCAATATATTTTGTCCTGATCCAACTAGTAAGGTTGTATATTTTTACTTTGCAGAATGATTTTCATAGCAAGATAATTTCAAAAAAAAAAAAAAAATTACACTTTTTTTCTTTTAGTGCCATCATCAGCTGTTTTAACCTAGGAAAAAAAGATCTATAGAATTTTCTATAAACTTTTGAAACATATGGCCTATAGAAACTCTATAGAATTTCTATAGAATGTCTATCAATTTCTATAGAAATTGCTATAAAACTTTTTTTTCTATAAAAAAGAAGTAGAAAAAAAATTTCAATACAAATTTTTATAGATGCTAACAGAAACTCTATAGAAATTCTATAGAATTCTATAGAATTTCTATAGGCCATATGTTTCAAAAGTTTATATACAAAATTCTTTAAATTTTTTTTCCTGGGAACTGATAAAGGTAAATATGTTATAACTTTGCAGCATGATTTTAAATATAAAGTAATTTAAAGACTTTTGTTTGTATTATGTTTTTAAATTTTTCAGAGACATCTTTGTCTGTTCCGACTGGTAAGATCATATATTTTATACACAACCTTTTTTATTCTGAAAAAATTTTTTTTTTAGGACTTTAGGAAACAGTAGCTGTGTTATTGTATATATATATATATATATATATATATATATATATATATATATATATATATATATATATATATATATATATATATATATATATATATATATATATATATATATATATATATATATATATATATATATATATATATATATATATATATATTTATATATATATATATATATATATATATATAAATATATATATATATATATATATATATATATATATATATATATATATATATATATATATATATATATATATTTGAGCAGCTGTGGCGCAGTGGTAGCGCACTTGCTTCAGAAACGTAAGATCCGTGGTTCAAACCCCACCTCTAGGCAAGTTTTGCGACATCGGTTGGGAAGGAGGCGTGAACTTCCTATTAATCAACTTAAAAAATTAAAAATTGTATATATATATATATATATATAATATATATATATTTTATTAAAGATTGGGGCAGGGAGCAGAGACGTATTTGAATTTTTGGCGCCCTGGGGCACTGTTCCTTTAAGCGCCCTTTTTTAAGAATAATGTCAACTTTGATATGGGGTGATCATTAAAAAAAAAAACATTTTCTATACCAACATATATTAAGTTATGTTAATCACTATAGAAAATTATAATTTTCTATGTGAGTTTTGTTTTGCAAATGTATTTATAATCTCATTAAAGTTCATATCTATGGTAAGTACAGATTCTATAGATAGAATTGCTAACCTATTAAGACGATCACTTGTCATTCGCGACCTCAAATAAGATTTAACCCTCTTTAATGCTGAAAATGATCTCTCGGCTGAACAATTGGACGTTGGGCAGCGTAGATATATTCTTAATGCTATATCTACATAAGGAAACAGCTCTTGAAGTTTTTCAGTTCTGATCATTTTATAAACATCTATTATAGTTTTAGGTCTTAAGTTTTCAGTTAAACTCATTAAATAACTTCTGAATTGTATACACTCGTTAGCAAATGAAGACGAAAGATCATTTTCATATACATTTTGAAGTACCTCTGCTTTTTTGTAAACTTCTGATGGCGAAAGTTTTATTATTTGAAATAAAAAGTTAAATTTTTTATTGGCTTCATCATAGCACAATTTTCTTCTTTCTAGTTCAGAATGAAGTTTATCAATTATAGCATAATATGTATTAATTCTTAAAGAGTCTCGAATTTTAAAATTTGTTTCTTCTTCTCTTTTTTCATCTGCAGTTAGTTTTCTTTTTCTTTTGCGTATTTTTCGATATGTTTTGTGTCCTGACTTATTTATTGCTCTCTCTTCATAGATATCAAACATACTCCTTAAATCTAATACATATCGAATTAAAGATTCGTATAAACTTACAACTGTTTCTAAATCAATCTCAACTGACTGCAATTGTTTGCTAGTTTTGTTGAATCTCTCTAGTATATCGCCCCATAATGTGGCCATTATAGCTGTTTCAAGACTATCCAGTTTTAAATATAGCCCGTTAGCTTCTGATCTTGTAATAGATTTTTCTGTTTTATCATCTTTGATAAAAGACAGTGCATTAATTATTTCAATCCAATTTTTGTTTAAACTAATACTTGCATCAGATCTTGCTGACCATCTGGTATCTGATAGTTTTTTAAGAGATACATTTTCTGTTTTAATCAAATTCTTCTGAAGTATTTCCCATCTATAAGTAGAGGCACTGAAAAATTTATAAATATTTTGAAGCAGAATAAAAAATTCAGAAGCATAAATACAACAGTCCACAGCGCACTCACCAACAAGATTTAAAGAGTGTGCCGAGCATGGTACAAATGTTGCTAAAGGATTAACTTTTTTAATGCGAGCTTGAAGTCCTGTGTATCTACCAGACATATTAGACGCATTGTCGTAACTTTGACCACGACAATTATTAATATTTAATCCATGCGATTCTAAAACTAAAAATACAGCATCTGCTAATTCTTCAGATTTATGACCAGAATTAGGTAAAAACCCTAAAAATCTTTCTACCGGACAGCCATTCTTTTGAACATACCGAAAAATGAATGACAGTTGATCTACATGGCTAATGTCAGGAGTAGAATCAATACTGATGGAAAAGTATTTAGCTTCCTTTATTTCTTTCACCATTTGTTGAATAACATTATCTGCCATTATACTTATGAACTGCTCATATATATTAAATGATAGGTATGATGTTGAACCTTTTCCTTTATTTCCAAACTTCTCAATGTGTTGTGCTAAAAAAGGATCAAACTGAGCAATAAGCTCTAAGCTCATCATAAAGTTCCCATTATGAACAGATCCAAAACGGTCATCATCACCTCTAAAAGACATTCCACGAGAAGAAAGGGATTTCACAACAGCTACAACTCTTGTCAATACATTTTTCCAATAATTTATTTCTGTTTCTACTTGATACTTTAGCTTTTGATCAACTCGATTTAATACTTCTTTTCTTTCTTTCATATTCATTACACACAATTTGTGGTGTTGTAAATTTTCATGACGCTTGATTTTTTCTTCTCCTTTTTTCCAATCTGAAAAACCAACTGTGGCAAACGATGTAGTGCCACCAAATAAATAGCAGGGAGCACAAAATATTGATCCTTTACTTTCTAAGTAAATCAAAAATGTTCGGTTAATTTTTTCACCATTAACAAGAGTAGATATAAATATACTTTTTGACATATATCGAAAACGAGTACGTCTTACCCCACCAATTATTTGAGTGTAAATTCTTTTTGACTTTTGGAAATTATTGTTCTCTAAATTTTGGTTAAATCCATTGATTGATAAATAATCTATCGTTTCTTGATTTTTTATCCAATTGGCAGGATCATTTCTAAAGGGAAAATATATTTGTTTAATATACAAAAACCAAAAAATATTATTCAAAGTTTATAACAAATTGTATAAAAAAAACATTCAAGCATTAGGTAATAGAGATAAATGCATAACATAATATAACTAGAGGATATAGGTAAACAGAAGTTTATTTCTATTCATTTTTAATTGATATATATTTTCTATCATTGTAAATTTATATTATTATTTTTGTTATTGGTTATATAAAGATGTACAACGACTAAGAAATTTATTCAAAAAAAAATCCCCTAAGTTTTTCTGAGCAGCGAGCTATTGAAAGTAATTGGCCAATTATAAAAGGAATTTTATTGAAAAGCAAGAAATTAGCTACAAATAATAAAGGTTTTAAGAAAAGCAAACTTAAATCAACATCTAGCAGATGATGTCAAGTACTTTCAAAGATATTCACTTTCTATATGAGCGTCCGATAAAAAAAATGTAAAAAATTATTAAAATAAATGAATGGTTCACTTAGCTTCATTGTGTCAAAAAATTACAAAAATCTGTTAAGAAGTTTTAGCGTGATTAACAATTAAAGGGTGCTGAATTTTATCGTGTTCAACCAATAAGTTTAAAAACGACTTAAAACGCACATGACAAATAATAAAAAAATTACTGGAAAACCAAAATCATGCTTAGATTTTTTGCCGCAGATGATTAATGTTGATAACAAGTTTATATGACCCAATAGCCATATCCTATGAATTTAATAAACTTTTAATTGGAATAGGTCCTTCCCAAACAAGATTTCAAATACATGGTTTCCTTTATTGTTTTCCTTGAACCTATGGATAATTGCATTTGTTCAGATGAGTTAACCTTAGAATTATCTTTTGAGAAATTTTGAGTTCTGTGAAAAGAAACAAAGACACAGGAGCAGATGAAATTAATGGAAACGTAATTATAGATTGTTTCAATATATTAAAACAGTTTTATGGTTCTGGGGCCGGCTAGTAGTCAGATTTCCCGAACTCTGTGGTAGCTCTCAGAGAAGCTAATTCCATCAACAGATGAAAAATATCAAAGTATTAAAAGTGCCATGTTGGCACTGTTAATACTTTGATATTTTTTAGCTGTACGTAACAGTTGTCCATGTTTGAACTTATCGTGTGGATTGCCAAGGCCACATTTGGAGCCCTTTGTTACGGCTTCGGGTTTATTAATAGTAATGATGCAATTGCTTGGGCTATTAAACAGTGTATCGAGTACTATCTATGCTTCGAGTCAAGTTCTTTAACAAATTTAAAAATAAATAAAGTACCAAAAACAACAAAACACAAAAAACCATTGTCATTTTAAACCTACCATCCACTAATATTTGTGGTTTTTGAAGTTTTTTTTTTTTCTGTTGAGCCATCTCTTGCAAAGTTCACCAGACCTACTTGCTCTTTGTGAGACTAATTTGAGTTCAGCTGTCTCATCTTGTGATCTTAGTGTTGATGGTTATCTCCCTTTAATTCTTAAAGACTCCAATAGTCACATGCTTGGCCTGGGCATTTACATTCGTAAGAATTCACCCATTTGTCAGAGAACTAGGTTTGAATCCACAGACTACTCTTTTATGTGCTTTCGTTTAGCACCACTTCACTCTATCACCTTTCTCTTTATTCTATATCGCTCTCCTTCATCTCAAGACTTCACTTTTCTTGATGTTATTTCTGATCATATTAACCAAGCCCTCTCTCTTTATCCATCAACCAATATTGTTGTTGTCGGTGACTTTAATGCTCATCACACGGAATGACTCGGCTCTAGTGTTAGTGACTCTGCAGGCATTAAAGCCCACAACATTTGTCTTTTTCAATTCCTAACTCAAATAGTCAACTTTCCAACTCGTTTTCCAGACAACCTGAATCATTTATCTTCTCTACTCAACTTATGTCTTGTTTCTGATCATAGTCAGTAATTAGTTTCTCCACATTTACCATTAGGTGCTCCTGATCACAGTTTGATCTCTCTAAAACTATTATGTCATTCTTCTTCATCATCAGAATCCTCCTATTATTGTACCTTTTACAAATATCTTAAAGCTTAGTGGGACTCTTTCCGTGTTTTCTTCGTGATAGCCCTTCGGTAGAAATCTTTCGTCTTCCTATCGTGCATTAGATAAAGGTGGAGAGGTTAAGGCCATTGCTCTTAAAATTTCTTAAGTGTTTAATAAAGTTTGGCATGCTGGTCTTTTCCATAAGTTTTCTTTTTACGGTGTATCTGGAAACACCTTTAAAAGTTCTGAATCCTACGTTTCCAATCGTAGTATAAAAGTTGTCCTCCATGGACAGCACTCTTCTTCATATCCTGTAACCTCAAGGTTCAATCCTTGGCCATATACTCTTTTTAATTTACATTAACGATCTTCTAGATATTCTCACATCTAAGGTGGCATTGTTCGTTGATGATACTACCATTTATTCTTGTCATGATAAGAAGTCAATACTTTCAGATTGCTTGGAGGGGGCGTTTGAGCTTGAAAAGGATATCATTTCTGCTACAGCATGGGGCTCAAAGTGACTAGTGAACTTTAATTAAGATAAAACTCAATTTTTTCAGCCAATCATTATCGCAATAATTTAGATCTTCCTATATATATGAATGGTAATATATTCAATGAGTCATATACCATTCATCTTCTAGGATTAACTCCTATTTCTTTCTTGGAAACAATATATCAAATCCGTTGCAAAAGTAGCATTTTCTAAGGTTGCATCTTTTTATCGAGCTCGACACTTCCTTACTCCAGATTCTATTCTCTATATCTATAAATCTCAAATCTGGCCTTGTATGGAATACTATTGCCATATCTGGGGCGGATCTTCTAATGATGCCCTCTCTCTTTTAGACAAGGTGCAAAAGCGCATTGTAAACATAACTGGACCAGCTCTTGCAGTCAACCTTCAACCATTATCACATTGTCGTAATGTAGCTTCTCTTTCTCTTTTCTACAAATACTATAATGGGCTCTGCTCTAAAGACCTAGCGTCTCTTGAGCCATCTACTCAAATTCATTCTTGTGTTACTCGTCATTCAATCAAGTCTCATCCTTTTTGTGTGACCGTTACTTAGTGTCCCAAAAACTCTTATTCCTTTAATTTTTTTCCTCGAATATCAGTACTTTGGAATTCTCTTCTTCCATCTTGTTTTCCTGATTTCAATAATATGCAATCTTTTAAGGTGTCTGTCAATCGTTATCTTGCTCTACAATCTTCATCTTTTCTCTTCCAGTAACTGTCAACTCTAATTAGTGGTTGCTTGCAGCCTTGTTAGAAGCAAAGACGTATAAAAAAAGTTAAAAAAATTTAAAAGTTGAATTTGCCAACTTTATTATTCTTTTATTCACAGTTACATAAATTTTACTAACACTGCTTGAGGAAGTACTGTAAAAATCTTATCTTCACGTGCGGCCGATATAAAGCGCTATAAAGCTTATAAAGCGCTTATAAAGCTTATAAAGCGCTTGCTTTATGTGCACGAGATCCAGGTTTGAAATGAGCTTTGGACATATTTCGCATCACAATAAGGATTGAGGCGTGAACATTCTGTTTAAATGCACTTCCGCGGTGCTCTGTGACAAGACTTCTTGGGGCACCTAAATAACAAATTTAAAATAAAAAAAAAAAAAAGTAAAAAAAAAAAACTTTTATACCGTCTTTATTATTACTTGATAACATACGCAGATACAGCTAATATTTTGAAAATTGTTATTCAACTTCAATTTTGGTACTTTTTTATTTTAGTTTTGACTTTATTTTTTAATTTGTTATACTTGTTTTGCTTGTTTGTACTTTACAAGGTTCTGACGACAAGGTCTTGTGATCTTTTTTTAGATCTTAGATAATGTTTCATTGTTAATAGTTTATGTATGTTGCGTCTATACATTTGTATATGCTTATGTATATATATATATATATATATATATATATATATATATATATATATATATATATATATATATATATAATATATATATATATATATATATATATATATATATATATATATATATATATATATATATATAAATGTATGTATATATATATATATACATATATATACATATATATATATATATATATATATATATATATATATATATATATATATATATATATATATATATATATATATATATATATTATATATATATATATATATATCTGCGTGTGTGTGTTTTCTTATTTTAATTATGCTGATAAATGTTATAACTACGATATATATGGCATATATAATTGTACTGAGACATTTTAATGTAAGCGAAATTAAAAAAAAAAGATGAAAAAGGTATGGGAATTCATAACTAGATTAATATTTAAAAAATAAATTGTATTCTTTTATAAAGCAATGACTTCATTGTAAATAAGGAAAAATATTAACTGTAGTTTATGTTTTAGTTATTAGTTCAAGAAGAATGACAAGTAACCAATTAGGAAGAATTGTACTAATATAATTACAAATACAATTGCATTAGATCCAATTTTGTCTTCTAAAGGTATAATGTCGGAAGAAGACAATACAACATGTACCTACAACTGCTGCGATATTAATAAATCAATAAACAATATTCAATAAACGAGATAGTATTTGAAGTATAATCAAATGAGGCTGTCATAAAAGATCCTGGCATACATTTGCTAAAATGAAGCTGTTCGACGCATTTCTTTGGTTAAAATTAGTACAACTAATGTTTTCTTTTGTAGAAAATGTCACTATAATTCTTTAAGCAAAAGATATAGCTTGAAGAACTGTACCGACATGCCCAATGTGTCTGCAACAGCAAAAAAACATTATGCAGACATTTGAAAACTCTTTGTGATGAAGAAACGTTTAAACATATATTGGTATAGTTAAACGTTTAACTATACCAATGTCAAATGCTAATACAGAAAGGAGTTTTTTGCACTTTGCTTTATCTTCGGTCTACAAGGACACAGGCGCGCCTAAACCACTTACTATTTCTAGAAACCCATGACAAACTTCATCAACCTTGCTAGTATTATAAAAAAGTTTTTTTATACAAAATGAATTTCCTTTATATTATTTTGGTAACATTTCAAACTGAAATGTTACCAAATAATATAAAAGAAATTCATTTTATTATTATATTATTTTAGTAACATTTCAGACTGAAATGTTACCAAATAATATAAAGGAAATTCAATTTGTATAATAAAACGTTTTTACAATACTAGCAAGATTTATAAAATTTATTTCCGATATTATTATACACACCTTATTTTTTTAAAACTGAAATTCAGTTTTAAAAAAATAAGGTGTGTATAATAATATCGGAAATAAATTTTATAAAGTGTTTTACTTTACATCTGAATATGAATCGCTAACTTGAAAATAAGGAAATGCCACATTTTTTTCAAAATGGAGATTTTTATAATAATATAAAGTATTACTATATGCGGATATTTTCTATATGCGGATATTTGCTATATGCGGATATTTTCTATATGCGGATATTTTCTATATGCGCATATTTTCTATATGCGCATATTTTCTATATGCGCATATTTTCTATATGCGCATATTTTCTATATGCGCATATTTTCTATATGCGCATATTTTCTATATGCGCATATTTTCTATATGCGCATATTTTCTATATGCGCATATTTTCTATATGCGCATATTTTCTATATGCGCATATTTTCTATATGCGCATATTTTCTATATGCGCATATTTTCTATATGCGCATATTTTCTATATGCGCATATTTTCTATATGTGCATATTTTCTATATGCGCATATTTTCTATATGCGCATATTTTCTATATGCGCATATTTTCTATATGCGCATATTTTCTATATGCCCATATTTTCTATATGCCCATATTTTCTATATGCCCATATTTTCTATATGCTCATATTTTCTATATGCCCATATTTTCTATATGCCCATATTTTCTATATGCGATATGCGCATATTTTCTATATGCGCATATTTAGACCAAAAAGAAAGCCTCTCGCTCATATTTAAACAAATTAATCTGCAAGATGAATGTATCGTGTACTGTAAAAAAAAGACATATCTGAGACATGTTCTGTTTTTGCAACAAAAATAGTTAAAATCATTGATTTATAAAAATACCTCTAAAAGCTGCACTCTATTATTTGAAAAAAATTATGGATAGTTTCTACAATATTCCTTCGAAAAATGGAAGATATTTACTTTTACAACGGATGATAGAATTAAATCTAAAAGCTGTAAAAAGGAAAAGACTGAAACACCTAAACTTCTGAAAAAGCCAAAATCAATGACATTAAATACCATTTACTCCTTGATAGATTGAGAAAAGTTGTTTGTAAAAAATGCTTTGTACTCGCTAATGGTATTTCAAAAAAAAAAGAATCAAAAAGCTTGCTGAACTGCTCCTAATGAACTCCTCCTAATGGTTGTGGAAAACATGGGAACAGGAGCAATCCATTGTCATCAGAAGTAGTTCGGAGCATTCATGAGCACAAAGATTCTTTTCCTACACGTGATTCTCGTTACCTTGGGAAATTAATAAAATATCTTAATGCTGGTCTTTCAGTAAAAATTATGTACGAAATGTATAAAACAAAATATCTTGATAACAGTAACGTTTTTTATAAACTTTTTTGGAATTATTTTAATGAAAATTTTAGTTTGAGATTTGGAAGGCCAGCAAAGGACTACTGTGCTCAGTGTGAAAAACTTAATTCAAAAAAGAAAAGTAGTTTACCTAATGAGAATTCTAAAAGAACTGTTGTACAAATAACTCGTGCACAAACGTTGAACAAAAAACTTTTTTATCTATTTTAAATTTGTCAAGGAGATTTGCTTTAAAGATCATTCAGTTGCTGGCATATTTATCAACTTTTTAGGTAATGTATCGCTACTAACCATCCTCGTAAAGCATTTGTAAGAACAAAATCCACACAATTCTGTGCTTTTAACTTATAACTTTGGTAGAAATAGAAAAGTTTGACGAGATGATAAAAAATTTTCCTATTATAGGTTACTGTTACATCCCTTGTGATAGAGATTTTGGATTGATAAAAAAAACTCTACGCTGCACTGAAAGATTTTATACTTTATCTCAAAATAAATCTCTGATTCTTCAATCATTAAAGACCATAAATTTAAGTTACAAGAAATTTAGTAATATCATTGATTATAAACAATAATGGTCTAATTACTAAAAAGGC